ATAATAAAATAAATTTATGACAAAAAAAATACTCGGAGGTTCCATCACGCGATTATGTTATTTCTCGGAAATTTCAAACAGGAAGTTGCGACCTTTGAATTGGCAAAAATAAGTTTTCTCTAAGTCTAGATGCTGTTCGGTCTTTCGTTTTTACGAAGAACATTTTTCTGAGAACAAACGGGTATTTGTGATGTGGGCTGAGTGCAATCCTAAGGCCAGATTCACAATTTAATAATTCCTCATATTGATCTGGGTGGCGTGACAATATAAGGCATTGCAGTTATGTGATCGTGAAGATCAAAGAACAAACATTGAGGGAATCCACCTCGACTCCTTCGTCAATCACTGTAATAAACGTCGGTATTTGATCGCAATATCATTTTATTTCGGCTACTAAGGGTACATTTCGTGAAGAGCTACTGCCTTGTCACAAAATCTTGTTGTCAACATCGCTCCTTGTTCATTGTTAATAATATGAACACGGATAATGATGTCGTGATCACCTCGTGAAGGTGGTTCTCCCTCCTAAATAATAAGCCGTTTTGATTGGATATTGATTTTTGACCATTTCGATCTGAAATAGGGCATGTATTACAGCTGTTTAGACTCATTTTCCTCATTACAATCGGGCAGAAATTTGAATGCTCATGCAAATAAAAGCCAGATAAATGAATGTAATCCTAAGCAATTTATCTTGCATCTTTCCAGTTAAAAACAATGCTGAAGTTGTTTCTGAATCATTTCTAAGAATAGCGGCGGACATGTTTATACGTAACTTTGTTTATTGTCCAGACGAGGATTCCGGGAAATATCCCGGGGGGAAATTACCCGTGTTCGTCTCAAATTTATGATCATTTGCTCGGAGAATCTTGTTGTTGTCCAGCTGCATCGTCTTGGTTGCAGGATATAGACCCCGGCGAGGCATGGCTTCTTCATCAGCAGGTAACACTCAGTGTAGCCTTTTTTTTAAATAGTATTCTTCAAACGTGAACACCACGTAGTCGCATCTGTATTTAGGAAAATCCGAGTAAATCAAGCACTGACATTGAACTGTTTTGACTTCCCTAGAACTAAGAAAAGATTAAAATCGTTTCCAATTGAAAGGATGAATATAAAATTCACTGTTGGCTCTATTTTATATATCAATGGCGTGTTTGGAACGGCTCATGTTTCCGCGCCTGTTGATCCACGAGCTAATCATGTAATTGTGATTTGTTCCATGAAAATCTTGAACAAACATGAATTTAAAGCGCTCGTTCGCCGGTGTGACACCGAGATCAGCATCCATTTACTTATTTGCCGAACACCACAAAAGCATTAAATATGCCGAACTAAAAACCGCGGCTCAGTTTTGGAGATGCTTCGCGTGTGCTTCTTTGTTTAAGCGCAAACAAGCTGGGAATAGGGTAACCTTTTCGACCTATTTGAAGAATAATATCTACATCATGGTGGTTTATTATCTTCCAAAAGTGTTACTGGGATAATAACCACATATTCATATAAATTTTGATGCAGATAGAATTTCGAAGATAGAATTTAATACTTTAGTTATGGCACTCAAAATGTCGACAAATCGAACTGAGTGCGACACCCGTAGCGTCATCCTTGCAATAGAGCGGTTGCAATGTGACAGATGTGTCATCGTTCGCGTCAGTGTGCGCCTTTGAATCAGGAATTTACAATCACCCGGGACAAGACTTTGTGACTTTTATCTTTAAATGAAACATGCAATCGTTCGAGAAGAGGGGCGCGTATATTACGATTAGCTATTAGGAAAAACTGACTCTATAGCGTCAAGAGCTGGCCGAGATAAACAGGAATTTAGGTTTCAACGCAACTTTACTTTGCGACCTTTACATCCTGACTCTGTTAATTACTGGAAAGGTAATAATAAAAAAAATGTTATTGTGGGAGTCATTAACTATTTTGTCCGATATTTTCTAAAAAAGTAATACCACCCCAGGCAAATAAATATTCCTGATTTACTAATTTCGACTGTTATTTCATTGCATCCTGCCTTTATCTGACTGGCAACAGTTTCCAGCAGGTGGCAGCTGTTCTACTTTAACGGATCATTTCCACCACTCAATATCAAGTAACATTAATATTGGTAACACACAAATACCCAGAAGTAAACAACTTCCATAGCATAATAAATTACTATAGAAACATTATAACTAGTTATAACCCCAAGAGTAATCCAACGGACCCCATATTTTATAATCGAATTATGATAAGCATGTTAGGATAAAACTTCTTGAAAAGTTTCAAAAATTCCGCAGGGAAAGAGGGTAGGGGGGGGGGGGG